AATTCAGGTGCTCCTCAAATCTTTGGGGCGAGGCTATTTTGACAGCTTGCCATGTGATGAATAGAGTGCCACATAAAAAGACTAAAAATGCACCTTATGAGTTGTGGCAGAGCGTAAACCAAATCTAAGTTATTTGAGCATTTGGGGTTGTTTAGCTTTTGTGAGACTTGCAGATCCTAAACGACCTAAATTGGGTGAACGAGCTACCACCTGTGTTTTTCTTGGGTATGCATTGCATAGTACAGCTTATAGATTTTTTGATATGGAAAATAATATTATTTTTGAATCAGGTGATGCTATTTTTCATGAAAATAAATTTCCTTTCAAATATAAAAATAGTGGGGGTCAAATAATTTCTAAAAATATTTTATCGATGCCTAGCTCTTCTATTCCTTCTTAAATTTTTCAAGAACAAGAAAATTCTCAAATCCAACTAAAGAGGAGTAAACGAGCTAGAGTTGAAAAAGATTTTGGCCCTGACTATTATCTTTACAACGTGGAAGAAATTCCCCTTACGGTGCAAGAAGCTTTATCCTCACCTGATGCTATTTTCTGGAGAGAGGTTGTAAATGATGAGATAGACTCACTACTTTCAAATAAAACATGGAAGCTAGTGGATTTACCTTCAGGTTGTAAAACTATTGGGTGTAAATGGGTCCTTTGTAAAAAACTTAAACTGGATGAAACTATAGATAAATATAAAGCGAGGCTTGTCGCTAAAGGTTTTAAGTAACAAGTTGATCTTGATTTCTTTGATACTTGTACTCCGGTTACTAGAGTTACATCCATTAGACTGTTGATTGCAGTGGCTGCAATTCATGATCCAAAAATTCATCAAATGGATATGAAAACAACATTTTTAAATGGAGATCTAGATGAGGAGATTTACATGGACCAACCCGAAGGCTTTGTGGAGCCTGGCCAAGAAAGCAAGGTGTATAAACTAACTAAATCCCTTTATGGTTTAAAATAAGCTCCTAAATAGTGGCATGAGAAATTTGATTCCTACATGCTTGAGAATGGCTACAAGACAAATGAATGTGATAAGTGCATATATTATAAAACTTGTGAGAATGCACATGTGATTATTAGCCTATATGTGGATGATCTACTTATCTTTGGCTCTAATTTGCATATTATAAATGAGACTAAAAATATGCTTAATAGCCACTTTGACATGAAAGATCTTGGTGAAGCCAATTTTATTTTGGGAATTAAAATTACCAAGACTAATGATGGTATTTTTCTTGATTAGTCGCATTATGTTGAGAAAATGTTAAAGAAATATAATTTTTTAGACTGTAAACATGTTGCCACTCCTTTTGATGCGAGCATACATTTGTCTGTTGTAACAAATGAAAATGAAGTAATTAATCAAAAGGAATATGCTAGCATGATTGGTAGTTTGGGATATGCTACTGACTGTACTAGACCTGACATTGCATATGCTGTTGGAGTACTTAGCAGGCTTACTAGCAAGCTAAGTCGAGATCATTAGCTAGCCATGAGAAGAATTATGAGATATTTATCTGGAACCAAAACTTATGGTTTGTTTTATAACAAGTATCCTGCGGTACTTGAGGGATATAGTGATGCCGATTGGAACACTTTGTCAGGTGATTCTCTCTCTACATCGGGTTTTATCTGTACCTTGGGTGGTGGTGCTATATGTTGGAAGTCTAAAAAACAGACGATAATTGCTAATTCTACAATGGAAGCTGAGCTTATAGCGTTAGCTTCAGTATGTGAGGAAGCGAATTAGTTGAGAGATTTGTTACATGAAATTCCTTTTTGGGAAAAATCAATTCCTCCTATGTTAATTCGTTGTGATAGCACTGCTGCTATTAGTAGAGTGCACAATCATTTTTATAATGGTAAATCCAGACCTATTCGAAGGAAACACAATAATGTGATATCATATTTGAGTAATGGCATCATAATTGTGAATTATGTAAGATCTTGTGATAACCTTGTGGATCCGTTAACCAAGGGCTTGGCGAGAGATAGGGTCTGGAATACATCGAGGGGGATGAGTTTAAAGCTTATAAAATTATAAACCATGTATGCGGATACCCAACCTAGGGACCAGAGATCCTGTAACTAGGTTCAATGGGATTAACGAATCATATGGTGCTTGTAAAAAATGCACTCTTTAATATTTTGTTATCCATCCCTATGATGTAAGTGCATTTGTCCTGTAATGTTGGAGGGTTGAGTTTTTATACTTTTAATGAAATTCTGTAGCTCTTGTTGAGTGGGGTGTATAAATTACAGGAACATCCTTGATAGATTTCACCTATGTGACCATGAATTGGGGCCGCTTTCTATGAGAACAAGGCTTATTCTTAAATATGCTCATGAAAACTGGGATTAGCACAAGGCCGTAATGTGCTAGCTATTAAAGCTCATGTCAACACCTGGATTATTATGTGTGAGCAGCAATTCTTTATTTCCCCTAAGCAGTCATAGTTCAAGTCTGAGACCGGTACTGACTCTGGAGTAGAGGTTGCTGTTTCACTAATGAAGGTTCAATGCAGAGCACACCTTCATGATGCATACTAATCTATCTTTGTTTGGTAATCTCTTTTATCCTTGTTGATATTAAAATGAGTGGGGGATTGTTGGACCATTTTAATATCTTTTATTTATTTATTTATATATCTTGGTCATAAATGGACATAAATAGGGTTTCATTACATTGGTAACCTCTCAACTTGGTTAATGGTCATTATTTTGGTGTAACCATTTTGTCTTATTTAATAATGGTCATTATTTTTGGTGTAACTGTAAGGTCCTAATGACCTATAAATAGTCCCTCTCATCTACTATTTTCTATATCAACACATACTAACTATTTTCTATACAAGAGAGATTACTACCAAAGAAGGGTGTTTTTCTTGGTGGAGCTTTGGGTTCACCATCTTGTGTAGAGTTGGCCTGAACCATACGACAAGTGGTCGGGCTGTTGTATCCTGGAGGGACAAGTCATAGTTTTGTGACTGCTGCATCGGTATTGGGGTTCTTCCTACCGCAGTGAGCTTGATCTCCTTAAACGAGATATCCGTGCCTCAACCTGATATATTTGTATCTCATTTTCTTTGCATCATTTATCAATAAAATATAATTTTTTCTGGTATTTTCACCAACAGTTACAAAATAGACAAAATTTCATGTGGTTTTTGACTTCAAGGAACCCATAATAATGGAGCAAAATTATTTGCTTATATTGAATTCATAGATGTGATAATTGTATTATTATTGTCTACAAAATGGTGGCTTATGTTTGAATTTTATATCATGTCACACATATACATACACACACACACACATATATATATATATATATATTATAATGAAACAAGAAGTAAATGATGAGGCAAATTATCTACTTAGTTGAAAGCTGTGATTTTGGTATCAAAGTTTTCTACTACAAGCGGTGGTTGCATATTTGACAAAACAAAAAAAGGAAAAGAAAAAGTTAGTCTTACTAATTATTATCATATTTTTCATTATTAATATTTGCTGACTATTTAAAATCAAGGAGCGTGCTTATGTAAGTCATGACGTCAGCAAGGAGCGTCTTCTCTTCCAATGAGTATATTTTTGTGTATAAATAGAAGTGTTGTGTGTGGAGAAAAATTAAGAACTTAAAATATATATATATATATATATTATAATGAAACAAGAAGTAAATGATGAGGCAAATTATCTACTTAGTTGAAAGCTGTGATTTTGGTATCAAAGTTTTCTACTACAAGCGGTGGTTGCATATTTGACAAAACAAAAAAAGGAAAAGAAAAAGTTAGTCTTACTAATTATTATCATATTTTTCATTATTAATATTTGCTGACTATTTAAAATCAAGGAGCGTACTTATGTAAGCCATGGCGTCAGCAAGGAGCGTCTTCTCTTCCAATGAGTATATTTTTGTGTATAAATAGAAGTGTTGTGTGTGGAGAAAAATTAAGAACTAGAAGAGAAAAATTTCCACGTGCTCCAAAATTTTGAGTATATTGTATTCTGCTCTTTCACTTTCAGATCTAAGTGTAGCCTTTGTTCTTACACTTTCATATCTACTCTTTGTGAGAAAATTATTGTAAAAGAGGGTTTAAGTACCACTTATTTTTATTCATTATTTTTGTGAGAGATTTTGTAAGGGGTAAGACATTTATTATTGAGTGAGGCTCAATAGATAAGAGTAAGTCCTATGCCAAATCTACAAGCTTGGTGGTGTATTTATTCAATTGATAGTAAAGAAATTCTCAAGGAGATTTCTTGGAGAGTGGACGTAGGCCTGACGTGCCGAACTACTAGAAATTTCAGTGTTTGATTTTCTCTCTCTATCTCTCTTACTTTTATATTGATAATTATTATTCTATTTTTTTTATTTATTAAAATTCTAAATATTAAATTAATTTTAATATTATAAAATTTTTAATAACCCAATTCACCCCTCTCTTGAGTTGCCTACCTGAGATAACATTATTCAAGCATATAATTATCATATCAAATTATCTTAATTTTTTATATAAATGTTTTACCCACTAAATTTTAAAAAGTGAATAATTTAAAACATTAAAGTTGACTCCAAAATAAATCCAATAAGTCCAAATGCGCTATCAAATTGAATGACTGACTTAAAGAATCCAATCCCTATTGTAAATGGGTATAAATTTCCGCATAATCTCCAAAATATAGTTTTATCATAAAATGTGAGTTTTAAAATAAAGTTAAAAAAAAACTCAATATTTTCTAATGTTTTTTTTTCTTCTATTTTGTGTGAAAATAATTTTTAAAAATTTGAAAAAACCTTTTTAGTATTTATTATTGTCGAATTAATTTATATTAAAAAAAATCTTAAAATGTATAAAATTTGTTTTTATTTTAATTTTAATTTTTAATTAAAAAAAAGTTGGAATAATAATATGGAAAAAATTGGAGTTGGTCTGATTCCAGTAGAGCGGAAGCATATTCGTTTCCCTATTATTTTTTGTTTTATTCATTTTGGTCTCTCTACGCTTACTTTCTGTCTCCTCCGTGAAAGAAAAGCCCTCTTACTCTTTCCTGCACTGCCCTGCAACCATGAATGACGGCGAAGACTGTGCGGCACAACCCCAGCTTCTCTGTCCTCACAGCGTTACAGATCTCTTGCATTCTGTTGATGCTTTTCTCTTTGACTGCGATGGTACTCTTTTCGAATTTGTTTGTTTCCATGGATCACAGATTTTAATTCCACTCTTTTTTTTTTTTAATTTATATATATATTTTTATCACTTGTTCATCGCATTTAATATTTTTGTTTTTATTGTGTATGTTTGTTTTTGTGTTTGTGTTTGTGTTTGTGTTTGTATCTATCAATTATGATAGGTGTAATTTGGAAGGGCGATAAGCTCATTGATGGAGTCCCTCAGACCTTACAGATGCTTCGTTCCAAGGTCTACTGTTCTATTCTCACATTTTTCCTCTTTTTATTTCCTCATTCTATTTTAAGCTTTGATCACTTGCATATATGGGTTCAACTACTATTCACACCCCCCCTATCGTACTCAAAGTTGCGATTTTTTCTAGTGGTAGTTATGAATTTTAAAAAAGTTATGATATTTTTTTTTGGATCAGTAAACTAATTATGAATTCTTGCGGTTTTGTTATGAATCTTGTAGTTACAAAAGGACATCTGATATGCACTGGTATATAACCACACATGTATACTGTGTATATCATGCAATTACCATGATTATGTTTGCAGGGGAAGAAGCTGGTTTTTGTGACCAACAATTCCACTAAGTCAAGAAGGCACTATGCCAAAAAATTTCATTCCCTTGGAATTTCAGTCAGCGAGGTTTGTTTCAACTGTCTATGACTCTATAGATAGATTCATCAAGTTCCACACGCGCGCGCGCACATACACACACATATATATTTTCTGTCAAAATTTGCTGAGCCCAATTCTCTCACTTTCTCTCTTCAATGTTTGCAGGAGGAGATATTCTCTTCATCATTTGCAGCGGCTATGTTCTTGAAAGTCCATGACTTCCCTCGAGAAAAGAAGGTTAGTGCTCATCTAGCTTATTTTTTTTAGTACTAAATTACAAAAGCAATTTTAAACTAGGGGCTAATTGGATGCTGAGCAAGTTAGGAATAAATAATGCTATATATTGACAACTGACAGTGTGATGCCAATCTTGATTCTGGAGTTGAATAATGGCACTGGGCTTCCTGTTAAATGACGATATATTAGGATTTATAAATTACTGGTTACGTTGTTGTCATTATTACTTTACCAATCATATGATCAACATCAAAGTATGCTTCTTTCATTTCTTTTACAAGTTATGCAATGCTGTGTCAGTGTTTCCACAAAAGTGTTTTATGATGCAAGAAAAAGCTACAGATTACTCAAAACATAAACATTCAATGACTTGAAAACAGAGTTCAAAGGTGCTCACTGCTAACCGGTTTAAATTCTTCAACTTTATCAAGTTTACACAATTTACTGCCATATTTAAACTTACAAATTTGTCTTTTATACCGAAATTTTTTCACTGATATGCTTCTTGGCAAACTGTTCAACCAATTTATAACTCACATGAACTATGGCTTATGGAAATTTCCAATTCGTTAGAAATCTGAATTTTTTGTTATCTTTGGCAAATATTTTGAATCTATCGGATACCATTTTTTTTTCTTTCATTTATGGGTCTCAACAAAACTCTTAGTTTGATTGGAGCACCTTGTTAGAATCTCAAGTTGGTCTGAATTTCTAGTCATCAATTGCATATTTGGAATTGGGCAATGATTGCCTCAAATTATTTTCTCAGGTTTATGTAATAGGTGAGGAAGGCATATTGGAAGAATTGGAGCTTGAGGGTTTTACAGGTCTTGGAGGCCCGGTACACTTTCACATCTTTTAAGCTCTAGATCATGGAGTTTGACCTACAACTTCTATTGTCCAATGGTGTTTCCAATTTTAATGCTGTTTCTCATTAGAACTTAGGCTATCTCCTGCCAACTTCAAAAAAATTAGTGGTCCTACCAAAGGGGAGGGGAATGACAAACCTATGTTGAAAACATTGTTAGTATTTGTATTATTTTTTAAAGGGAGACTTTTGCTAGCTGCCTTTTTGAGTCTTACCTGGAACTCAATAATATATTACAGGAAGATGGAAAAAAGATGGTGCAGCTGAAACCAAACTGTCTCTTTGAGCATGATAAGAGTGTAATGTAGCATCTTGCCCAGAATTTCTTTAAGCATTTGATTTTTGTGGGAGCTCATGGTTATAGATGATTTAATTTCTATTCCCAGGTTGGAGCTGTTGTGGTTGGATTAGACCAGTATATAAATTATTACAAGCTACAGTAAGAAATTATGTCTCTTGTTTCCTTCTTCCTTCATTCCCTGAAGTTATCCAGTTATTCTTAATAGGAAACGACTAAAAGTGATATTCTTTGGTTGTTCAAACTCCAAGGCATGGACTGGATGGATATAGGAGTCCCGGTCATCTAAGCTAGCAACATTAGCTCTTATATACCCAGAAAAAAAGCTCTTGGATCACATATATCCCAGGGACTTTTTCTTGACCATTGGTTCAATGGTTAAGAGTTGGCCTAATAACCTTGAGGTTATGGGTTTAAGTTTCGGGACCATCACTTTGTGCATTATGCCAAAGGTTAGGTGTGTACTCAATCTTTCCCCTCACAAATACACATTATTGTGTACTAATTGGGTGTTGTTGTCGTATATCTATTTAACATGTTGATTTGTGTACATCTTCATTGTACATGTTGGATAACAAACTATTAGTAAATGGATCCTTTATAAGATTCTTACAATTGATTACACTCCAAAGGAGAGAAAGAACTGCTATGGAGTGTAATCAACGGTAAGAATCTCAGAAAGGACCCAGAGGAGTTCAGTTGCATATAAGAAGCTGATATTCAATGCTCATGTGACCAACAATGTGGCTTCTAGACAAAAATGCATAACTAAATGGCATGTAAGAATGAATGACTGTCTGAAATGAATTTAGCGTTTAATGGGATTTCTGATTTCAAAGAAATCCTCATATAATGTTGGGTTTTTTAGGAGAGAATGCAGAATGGTCCAAGAATCTAAGACTGCATAATGGTGATTAGGAGCACGCAGAAAATCTGTCCATATGTAAACCTTCGGCAATTGTGAAGGTCTTTCATTCACTGAGTGGAAATTGATTATATTTTTCTGTTATTTTAAGAGAGAATTCTAACTGGCAGGTATGCAACTCTTTGCATACGCGAGAATCCAGGATGCCTTTTCATTGCTACCAACCGTGATGCTGTGGGACATATGACTGATTTACAAGAGTGGCCAGGTGATCCTTCGCATGTAGCCTGCCTTTTCTTCTCCAAGTGTGCTGTAGGTGACCCATGTTAAGTGCATGCAATTATACAGCAGACATGGCTGTTTTTAATTGTTTGCAGTTTTTTGACTTCAGGTGCAGGATGTATGGTTGCTGCTGTATGTGGATCAACTCAAAAGGAGCCTATTGTAGTTGGGAAACCATCAACCTTTATGATGGATTTCTTACTTAAAAAGTAAGCAGTTTTTTTGTCAAGTTTTTTAGAATTGATGATATAAGGAAAACCAAGACTATAGGTTCTATTACAGGATTAGGAACTTTGAAGTGGAGATTGCACTTAAGAAGATGAAATCGAATAAGGCTTTAGGACCTGATGATATTTCTATTGAAGTTTGGAAGTGTTTGGGTAAGAAGGGAGTTGCTTGGTTTATCAAGTTGTTTAGCAATATTTTGTTAACGTGTCATATAATGAAAGTGTGAGAGAGGGTGATGGAGATATAACAGATGTGTCAGAGAATCAATTGGGGTTTATTCGCGGTAGGTCAACAATAGAAGCGATCTATCTTTTGAGGAAAGTAATAGAAAAGTATAGAGTAAAGAAAAGAAATTTTCATATAATGTTCATCGATCTTGAGAAAGCATATGATAGAGTGTCTCGGGATATAATCTGGTGGATGTTAGAGAAGAAAGGGGCATGTATAAAGGGGTGGTAATCACTATTAGATCACTTGTTGGAGAGACAAAGGAATTTCCAATTACTATAAGGTTACATCAAGGATCTACTTTAAGTCCTTATGTTTTTGCTTTAGTTATGGATGAGTTGACGAGAAATATTCAGGATGATGTGCCATGGTATACGCATTTTGTAGATGATACTGTATTAGTGAATGAGACTAGAGGAGGAGTAAACACAAAGTTGGAGATTTGGAGAGAAGCACTTGAATTTAAAGAATTTTTGATAAGTAGAACTAAGACAAAATACATCGAGTGTAAATTCAGTAACAGTAACAATGAAAGCCGAGGAGAAGTGAAGATTGAGAATCAAGAACTACCTAAGAGTGAACATTTTCGTTATTTAGGGTCGATTATCACAACAGTGGGAGAGATTGATGCGGATGTAGTCCATAGAATTAAGGCGGGATGGCTTAAGTGGAGAAGTACGTCTGGGGTACTGTGTGATAAACGAGTACCTACTAGACTAAAAAGAAAGTTTTGTAGAACAGTTATTAGACCAGCGATGTTGTATGAGACGAATTGTTAGGTACCCAAGAAACAACATGTAGATAAGATGAGTGTTGCTGAAATGAGGATGTTAAGATGGATGTGTGACAAAACTAGAAAAGATAGAATTAGGAATGAGTATATTCGGGAATGGGTAGGAGTAGTATCGATTGAAGATAAATTGAGAGAGAATAGATTGAGATGGTTTAGTCATATTCAACGGAGACCAACAGAGGCAGTAGTGAAGAGATGTGATTCAGTAATGGTAGATGGAAGTGTTAGGGGGACGGGATAGATCTAGATTGACGTTAGCTAGCCTAGTAAATAGAGATATGAATCTACTTAATTTGACTAACGAAATGACTTTTGATAGAGTCGCGTTGAGAAGAAGGATTCATATAGCCGACCCTATTTGATGGGAATTAAGGCTTGGTTTGGTTTATATTTACTCAGGTCCATGATTTGCCGTAGAACCTAATTACACACCTAGAGTAGAAATCAAAAGTGAATTGAAACTGATAGGTGGTCAAATTGGAGTTGTCACAATCATATAGGATGTTTGGTCTGTTTCTCTACTTCTTGAAGAATCTATTGTTTAATTCCCAGTAATATGAATAATTGTCTATTGAAGTAGGAAAAATCCCTGGAATATAATCAATTAAGCCTACTACAATGCTAGTTTGCTCTATAATGTGACTTGCTGTATGACCAAAAAAATAACTAAGCAAATAAAATAAAATAAATGCCATTGTAGTAGGGGTCATGTAATACATGTGGATAAGGTAGGTTAGCTTCTTTTTTTTTTTCTTGTACGTCCAGTGTTTTCTAGTCTTCTTAGCTGTTTAAGTTTGTCCTTGTTATAAAAAAAAGAAAATGAGAAGAGAAGGTCTGATAATGGGTTAAAATATATGTATCTTGTGGAATGTACAACACCACATTGCTTCTTAACATCCTTTAGTGTACTTGTATAGAATTATGAAGTTACTTATTACGCCATCTTAAAGAAAGAATTGTGTACTTACTGTGTTTGTGCACTTCTTTTACTGTTTTGCAGGTTTCAAATTACGACCTCCAGAATGTGTATGGTGGGTGACAGATTGGATACAGATATTTTATTTGGCCAAAATGCTGGCTGCAGAACTCTCCTAGTTCTTTCAGGTTGACAGTTTCTCTTCATTTGCCCATCATATTTTGTAAAATGCTATTTATGTATGTATATATATGTATATATATATATATATATATATCTTTCATGTTAAGAAATAAAGGAGCTGCAGATTCAAGTGCTTTCCTCATGTAGTTGCTGTGGTTGCAGGTGTGACTACTCAATCTGGTCTTCAAGATCCATCAAACCACATTCAACCAGAGTATTATACAAGCAAAGTGTCTGATCTTCTTAATTTATTAGGACCATGATCCAGTCTCAATCCTTTCAAAGTTTTCCAGAGTCCAATTGTTGCTAATGAAACAATGCAACCAGAGATTGATATTCTAATTGCCTTGTTCACATATTTGCATCGATACTGTATGCTTTATTTTAAATTGTTTTTGCTTTCTCTCTCTGAGACTCTTTGCATCTAAGGCAACCCGTGAGGTTAGTCATCAAGGTACTTTGAGAATTGAGATCTAGTGTCACTTTCTTGTTTAGTTGGGTCGATTATTCTTGTACAAACTCTCATTGATTGAAGGTGAAGCAGAAAATCTCTCCATCTTTGGCAAAGCACCTAAGTGCTTGCACTCCCTTAATTCAACTTCCCTATTGAACTCATGACCTCCTTGGAACTAAGCCCTAAGGAAGGCATGATAGCCAACTAGACTAGGCCTGGTTGTATGATTCTTAGCTTCATGTTTTTTTATCCTAAACACTGAAGTCATCTTATATTTTAGGTTTACCACAAGTATCAAAATTGTGCAGTTTCCATCCATGTTGAGTCTTATGTTGACATGTAGCATATTCGTACATTCACATGAATTGTATCACGGATATAAATCCTCTCCATTTCATATTGGAAAATGGAAAAATCTGGATTAATAAAATTTAAGGGAATGATTTCTCTCCAATCAATATTTTTGAGCCTTATGGGCATATTCTATGGTGATTTTAACCGTTTTTATTGCAGTGCTTATTGAGTAGGTTATCTATGCAACCAATTAGATTCATCAAACATTATAAGCGACTCTCAAAATGTGATAAATATGATAAATGAAATTGGTATGGTGAGTCAAGATGTTGCTGTGGTTATTCATGATAGCAACTTGGTGGTAGGTTTCATACTTGTGGTTTTGAATTTATTAGACGTGGGTGTAACAGAGCAGCACATGTGACTGCTACGTATGATGTTCACTTGGTTTCATGAACCACTTGTGGAGGATGGAAGTCTTGTCTAATTCATTCCTGATTGAATAAAATTTTGTTCGTATTGAGTGAAAAAAAAAAAAAAAATTCATAAGCCATGTGATCACTCTTGTTTTAAAAAAATATAGGCAATAAGTATCATTTAAAAAAAAAAAAAAAAAAATAGTCCAGAACCATTTGAATCACTAAGGTGGGCTCGGAAGAGATGTGTTTTTAAGGTGCGTTTGTCATTTGGAATAGACAAATGTGATTTGATCATGTAATTATTAATATCTAATTAACCTAATTTTTGTGAGGATAATTTACTCAATTCAACTAAAAGGTTAATGGTACCTTACAATTGGATCACTAAAACTAGAGAAACTCAAACCTAAAATCAAAATCATAAAACCACAATCCAAATGGCTATTCATGAATGAATGAAAGAGGGTGAGTCATTTGCTTTCAAATTAAAAGCCTCTAAATGAAGGTAATTTACCAATATTAAATTACCACTTTAGCACATGACATCATGTGGTTGTAACCAGCGTGACCCAAGATTCATTGTACAAAAAATCGAAGATCCAAAATATAAATACAAATCCACATATCATATCACGCCCTCCTCTAAATGTGCCAAATTAAAATACAAACCAATAACAAAGACTAATTAAGGGCAAGTTTGGGAAGATCCAAAAAAGTCAAAAAGTCAAAAAGTTACTCAAAAAGCTAAAAAGTTAACACTATTTATCGAAAGTCAACAATTACGGTTGCACAACTCCCAATTCAAATTTTTCCCCACAAATCAATTTTTACAATTTTTTATTACACATTTTTCAATAAAAAGTCAAAAAGTTAACCCAAACATCCATATTTTCAACCTCAATTTTTTACTCCAAAAAGACAAAAAGTGCACTTTTTTAGTCTTCCCAAACTTGGCCTAACTATCCCCTCTTCCTCAGTTTAAAAATAAAACAAAAAACCTACGCCATCATCAAATAAAATCTCCTAGAGAAAATCTCATTAAATTATTTCTTAGTTTTATTATTAAGTAGATGGAAAAAAAATTCACTCTTCCTTCAAATTGTCACGTTCTCTCTCTTTATTTTTAAATTATCAATTTAAACAATTACTCTCTTAAACTATTGACATTGATTTATTTTAAGCAAATTAAACAAATTATGTGCACAAATATTTTTGTGCGCCAACATGTGTGATATTGTGTAAAAAGCATTGACTGGGTTGACGATTGGAAATAAATACTAATATTAACAATTTAAAAAGATAATTATTCAAATAGATAATTGAAAAAATAAAGTTACACAAGTGTTATAATTTGCAAAAATTATTGGTTGATCCTGGGGTACCATGTGTCATACCCCAAGCCAATCACAAACCTCCATATTTTCCTATATTTTTCAATCACTTAATACAAAATCGTAGACTCCTTTCCCTTCACCAATCATAATACATGTAGAGTGTCACGTGATGTTGGCCGTGAACCAACCAATAAGTTCTCCATAAGTTGAGTTTGAGGGACAAAATGGATATTTTCTCCTCTATATAAAGCAGTAGTGGAAGAAAATCCTAGTTTTTAAGGTTACAAGATATATGTATTTCTAAAAACCTCTCCCTTTCTCTTTCTAAAAACCTCCTCCCCGGGTCTCTCTTTGGGCCGGCCGGCCGCCGCCTTTGGCTATGGCGGTCGGCTGGGCTAGCTTCTTCCGTGTTTGAATGTTGTCTTTCCGTTAATAAACTTGAGTCCCCCATTATTTTCCCACCTAGGTGTGTTTGGTATGCTGCGGTGTGTGGGTTTTTGTTGGTGATTCCGGGCCGAGTTAGCGGTTTCTTTGGGGGTATTGGTGTGCTGTTTTTCAGCAGGGAATGTCCAGGATCTTCACTCGTGCGCTCTTTTACGAGTAGGAGTTTGAGGGGTTAAATCTGGTTCAGATTGTTGGAGAAGTTTCGTTGCTTGGTTTGGGCGGAATCTTGGGTGTCGGAGCCGATTCAGATCTGTCTGGTTTTCATTCGAGCGCTCCTCTTTGTGTGAGAGTTTGAGGGGTGAAAGATGTAGATCTGGAATGGAAGTAGAACTGCTGGTTGGTGTTTGGATCTGCTGTGGGGGTGTCCCAGCTGTGGCGTGGTGTGGGTTTTGACAGTGAGTTAGAAGAATGCTGCAGCAGCTGGACCTTGGGAGATAATGCTACAGTAGTTTTTGGCGTGGGTGATGAACTGCATTGTCAGTGGAGTTGATCTACAGTGGGTGTTTCCGGTAGTTAATGTTGAGCCGCAGCAGCATTAGCGTGGAGTCTTCTCGGCCGGATTGCAGCATAGGTGTGGTTGCCCGGATTAGGGTGGTGAGGGCAGTAGCTGTCCTGGCGGTGTGGGCTTTGGGTGTTGGTAGCAGGCTGCTTAGGGTGGTGAGGGCAGCAGCTTAGGGGGGCTGCAGGCTGCTTAGGAGTGGGTGGTTGTAGCTGTAGAGGCGTGAGGGTGATGGGTGTTGTAGCTGCAGAGGTGTGGGCATTGTCAGAGGCTTGGGAGTGTTGATTAGATTGTGTTGGTTTAGTTTATTTAGTTTCTTCTTGGGTGTTGGTTTAGCTCTTTTGGTTTTGTTTTGAGTGGTTTGGTGGGTTGATTATGTGGGGATTTTTGTATTTTAATTTTCAGTTAAGTTCTTCTTAACTTGTTTGTTTAAAAAAATCGAGAGGCTTAGGGGTTGGTTGTATGGGTGCGAGTAGCAGTAGTAGGGGTATTTTTATACTTTCGAATCTCTCTCGATGCATGTCATCTTCCTATACTCTTAATTTCATGCTGTTAAATGAAATTTTTCTTTGCTGATAAAAAAAAAATAAAAAATAAAAATATAAAGCAGTAGTGATTGTGAAAACAATGGTGTGTTAAGTTGGGCTCTCTCATTCCTCTATCCAGTGCTGTTTGTCAACACAAATCTCTTCTCTCCAGATTATATATATATATATACAAAGTTGAAACTTTGAAAGAGAAGATGATGATGATGATGATGATGAGGAAGTTGATGAATAGAGTTTCCAAGGTGGTTCTGGTGCTCACAGTCGCTGCTGTAATGGTGACTACAGTGGCAGCCAAACACAAACGTAAAGGAAACCAACGGGTTTATCATTGTTCGGACGCCCCCCCATCTTACTCTTCTTTTTCATGTTGTGGCGGTGGCGGTCGCGGTGGCAGTGGCGGCCGCGCTTCTTCTTCTTCGTCACTGTCTTGCTTTGTTCAACGTTTGTTTTTCCTCATGCTCACTTACTTCCTGGCTTATTATGCTGCTATGTAGCAAGCCTTATATCTCTATGTAATAATAAGTCTTCCATCCCTAATGGGTTCTCAATAAGTTGAGCTATACACAATCAGACACAAAAAAAGTATCCATGGATAAAAATTTTCTAGAATAAAATTTTATTCATTCATATATAATTTGCTCTTGCTCTTTCACTTTGTAGTGGTATACCTCATAATAACTTTTCTATGGTGGTTCATGTAGTTAATACACATGAATGTATATTTCTTGGTTGGATGGTGTTTGCTTCATTATGTATGTCTGTGAGTGTTTGAGAGAGAACAATTTTTTTATCTGTATAAAAATCAATCATGAGCTATAATCGGGTTCATTGTGCTCCAATTAATCCCAAGTTATTACATGGCATGTGATTTTGCGGGTAAAAATTAATATCAAATGTAAAAAAAAATTCTTTTTATTATTAATTTTCTGTTAAAGAGTGGTTGGAGTCAATTATTTGTTTTAGAGAATTACAATATATGGAAAAATTACTGTCTTGGCCAAGTGATATATAACATGAGAGCGATTATGTAATGGACCCTATGATTTTGAATCCTAACAATTATACTGTGCATTTATACCATGATTACATACTCTTCCATGGAGGTTGATCATTCTTAGAAATCTCAACATGAGACAAATTCCGAATTTGAGCTCTTGCTACTGCTATATATTAGAAGGAAAATGATATATAAGTCCAATTTTTAGACCCAATTTCTAGACCCAGTAATGTATGAACAAGTTGAATGGATGATGATTAAAAATTAAATGAAAGAGAGAGTTGACTTAGATAGTTTAATAGAATGTCACATGATTAAATTTAGAAAGTGAGTCTAATTTTTGGACATGAATAGCAATACTTGTATTAGAAAAGTAAATTTATATATGCAATTGAAAAGATCGTAAGTAATTAAAATGATAGTGAGTGAGAGTGCAAAGGAAGTAGTGAGCAATTGAATAACAGTATTTGATTTTTATTTTTAATATCAGCGAAAGTTAATTTTAATTGTTAGATTAACACTTATAAGAGTTAGCCTTCCACCATTGCAAAGTACTTTACCTGTCTCCTAATCCAATTCCCTAAGGAGAGTTGAACCCATAACCTTCTCATTAATCTAGGCCTT